TAGTATCTTTCTGTGCTTATGGATATAGGGCGAGTACAGTCACTGAGTGCAACTGTAATATCACCTGTCAATACAGATTTACCACCACTCAGTACACTCGCCCCTGTTGTGCAGGTTCACAGTGGGACTGATTGGAGCTGTGACTCGTGCACAGAGAAAGACAAAAAAAATCAGGCACACAAACAGTGACTCAAGCATTAACAATGACATAAACAAGCTTGTGTTCAACTGGACAGCAAAGCTTTGGTTTTTAAGTACATTATTAATTTTGAGTAAAGTATTTTTTGTGTCTCTCACAGATTATAATAAATCACACAATCACATTGTGTTCCTATTTGATGTTTTTCATGTAAAACCTTTTCTGCAAATCAATTTTATTTTTAGGGACAATAAAGTGTTTTAATGGATTGAACAAAAAATCAGCATAATGGGATCTGATACATGTTTAAATGTAATAATTGACTTTTAGGTACTTATTTACTCATTTACATCCCTCTAGTGAAGGGGTGTGTTCTTAAACATTCCAGGGAGTCCATATTAATAGTTAATTTTTATCCATTCCTTTAAAGAGTAAAATCTGAAATCTGATGCCCTTTATTTAACATGCACTTTAATTTCTCTCTCTACATTTTTAAACAGTGACTCTACATGGGTCTGTCCTCAGCATAAATAGAGTGTAGCTTTCTATTTTTTCTCTCTATAGTGTCAATTATTGTTTGATGTCTTTATTCTGCTGAAAAACAGATTTTATACAGTGGATAATATCTATCTATCTATTTATCTATCTTAGGCTATCTATCTTATCTAATCTATGATCTTACTGTTCTAATATCATAGGATCTTAGCTCGGCTACTATCTGGGGTGATATGTCAGTGTTTGAAATGTGTGTTTCAGAGAGAGAACACACACAAAAAATATAATAGTTAGAGACAATAATCTGCTCTAATCTGTCCCACTAATATTCTCAATCCCATACAGGCAAACACAAAATTAGTCTATTTTTCTCCACTGTTCCCAAACAAATAAAATAGTGCCAAGTTCAAGTCCAAATTGTTACATTAAACATGGTGTATTGTCATCTACTACAAATTCAGACTCACACAAACCAGCATAATGGTGCCCATGTTGCCGGGCTGAGGGGTTGGGGATCTTTTTTTTTTTTTTTAATAACTTTTTGAATAACAGATTGATCATTTAACAGCTCCGCCTTGCCTCATCTCCACAGCTGATTAATCAATAAAGTGTCTGTGAGGCAAATCGGATAACTCAACAAGCCTGGACTTGTCTCTACAAGTCACCTGTGGTGTCTGCATGGTTCAGCTAGACCTTCATTAACTTAGGAGGAGGACAAAAACTGAAGCCGAGCTCATTAACGCAGGCAAACAGGTGTGAGAAATGCAGCTTTAAATCACATGTGAGTGTTTTATCAGCTAGAATTTTTTTTTAAAAAAGAGGAAAATAATTAGCTGTGGGGCTAAACCTGTAGGTTAACTCAGCTGTGTGTAAATGTGTTTTTGGTGATATATGTTAGCATTGCTGGAGGGTGACTCAGCCCCATTTAGGGTGTTAATTATTACTCTGTTATTGTTCATTTTCTTCAACACAACGTATAAACTTCTTATTGTATATACATATTTTAATATGAGTTAGACCTTCAAGGTAAACCATGGAGCTAGCTTGCTTATTGAACATTAAGGGGATGACACAAACGGAACAAAACAGTGTATTATTTTTTAAAATAATCCAAGATGGCGTTGAAGCCTGTGCACGACACTAAATTGCGACTTTATAGGGACCTTGGCGGACTTTATTAGAGTTTTTAATGTCTTAAAACAGCAGTGTATTATTCCTTTAATACTACCATGTGATAATGAAGTGCAGTTTATAATTCCGCAGTGGTAGTTTTAGCTATTTTCCTCCCAAAATATAGCGAATTGCTGAATGAAAATGTCTTCTTTTTTTTTAAGTTCACAAAAGCAAATAGTGCTTTTTTAGATCCGCGGAGGGGGCAGGAGGAGGAGAGGGGCAGTGAGGCAGCCCTTAATAATCATCAGCCTAGTTTTTGCAGATATTTCAACGCGATGTGCCTTTTCTTTTTTCTTGTTTCCCCTCCTTTTAGGACACATTAAATAAGCAGCGCAACGGCGCAGGCTGCCGCACACCCAGGCTGGTTGTATAACGCGGCTTCACCTCAGCTGAACTTGACGCATCTGGTTGATCGGCGGCGCAGTCTGCAGCCTGTGTGTCCCCACTGAACCGAGCTGGATGGCCGCGGAGAGAGACGCAGAGAGAGAGAGGAGGAGGAGGGGGGGAGACCGGGGGACGCAACTCTTGTCGTGGCCCCGGTAGCAGCTCACGGAGACCGTCTCCAAACACATCCAGACGTGACGACTTTTTGTTTTTGTTTTTTTTGTTTACAAATATCGTCGCCTTGTGCCTTCTTAATTTTATTTTTTTTGCGGGGTGGGGGTGGGGGGGGGTGAGTCCAGACATAATAGAAGAGGAGCCACCGTCTAGAAAATATAAAGCCCGCGGACATGGGAGTTGGACACCCAGGAGGAAGAGACCATCCGACTTGAACTTGAGACCTGTGGGTGCGTAGTCTCCAATTTATTCTTTCTCTTTGCAAGGCGATATATATATTATTTTATTTTTTTTGCAAAGGTTTGCATCTGCGTAAAGTGCGTACAAATGACAAGGAAGCGGTCGCCGTTGTCATTTCAAGCGTAAGCATGTAGCGATATATTTCCCCCAGACTGGGTCAGTGGATATTGACACTGTTATGACTGAACCGATCCACAGTCCTTGGGGGGAAGTTTCCAGGGTGCGAAAAACAAGCGCTTTTCGGCTTAACAGCTTAACATAATCGTCTGTAAATTTGAGGACAAGTCTCAAAACATCTTCCAGCCTTTTACGCGAAGATGAAATGGTCGCCAGACTGTAAATTCTCCCCTCGCAATACAAGAAAAGAGGTCGCCTTTTTCGTGCCCTAGTTTCCCTTTGCAGAGAGGCATAATCTTTCCCTTTGTTGTCCCCGATGCAAACAAAGATAGGGCAGCCGGGCAGATCACGTCAATCCAGCGGAAAACATCCCCGCTCTTCAAGTGAGCAATTTATAGGATTTCAGTAAAATGTGCATTTAATTAGAAAAAGCGAAGTCTCCCGAGCTGTTCACCCTGAGATAATCAGTGTATGTAAGACACGAGAACATATGGTAGAGCTGTGCGGTTTCCCCCGATGTGTCACTGTGGTTTCCCTCAGAGAAGTTTTTGATGAAATTAATTCATTGAAATCTGAGAGGAGCTAACTCAGCAGTAGCTGAATGTATTTTTAATGGTTAAAAGGCCTGTGTGGGCTCCCAGTCTGGGTCTCTCAGGTGTACAGTGAGCTTATTTAAACGACAGAAAATTATCATTTCAACCTAAATCCCCTCTGAGGAATTAAAGTGAGGATGTATGTGATCATATTTATTTGGCGTTACATGTGAGTGTGTGCTTGGACAGTGGTAACAGCAGCTGCACATTCATCAGGTAGAACATGAAGATTTCTGGCATTAGAGAACAGAACAAAGGGAGTTTTTAGGTTCATATAGAGTTAATTTTGTATCGTAAGTCTTTTATTCTTGTGGCTACAGATTATTCATTTTAAAAACACGTCACATTTTCCTAAGTAATATTAAATGTAGGCCATGGTCGTCCTCTGAGAAACTGAAGCAAAAATGCAACAGTCCCTTTAAGAGGATAGATTATTGCTTTGTAATACTATCACATTATTTTTTACACTGCAAGAAAATTAAATTGTGAGTGTCCTGCTCTACAGCACATTACAGACATCGTCTCTTTTTTCGTTTAGTCGTCTCAGACCATGCCACAGATATCCTTCATGGCAAAGATAACTTTTACCCACAGCAACGCAGCACACATAGACTCAGCACAAGTCAAAGTGGCACAGACACCACACTTAATCAGTTTATCTTCAGGGGCTGTTCGTCCTTTCAGATCATCTTTCGCATCGTGCACACCTGGCTATGTATTTTGCTCTATATGTGTGTGTGTGTGTGAGAGCGTGTATGCTCACAAAGCTTTGTCGGCCGACCGGCCGGGTAAGACTTTGCTCATACTGGAGTGTCAGTCGAAATTGCAACGTAGAAGTGTTTCCCAAGAAAGAATATGTGTTGCCTGACAGAAACATGGTGTTGTGCTATTCCATATTCTCTCCCTCCTCCACGTCTCTTTGTCTCTCTCTTTCTCTGAAAAGAGGAACCAAACAGTAAGAAGCTGGAATATGAACAAGATCAGAATGACCTTTTGGCCGCAGCGCTTAGTCACAAACATGCTCTTTTTATGAGATGCATTAATACCCCAATATTGCCTGTTTATAAAGTGCAGTCACCGCTATAAACAGGAAAATGCCATTGTGCCTTGGAGAAAATGGAGCAGAAACACAGGTGGCCCTCAGACAATGGACTGTGGCTCATTTCTCCACTGTGAGTCAGTGGGACAGGAGAAAGCACATGGCTGCAGAATGAAAATTGGCGTGATTATCATCTGATTTACCCTGCCACCCTGTAGCTCCGAGCCCCGTTGTGGACCATACTGGCAGTGACCAGTGTGGAGAGAAGAAGAGGCTTGGATTCACCCAAATTTTCTCTCATTTGCTTTCAGAACAGCTTCATCCTCCCTCCCACCCTCCCACCCTCTCATATCTCACGCAATTGATTGAAACCCTAAAACCGGGCAAGATCAGTCCGTGGCGCAATCCAGCCTTTCTATGAATAAGTTGACTTGGATGTGAATTTGGTGATGTTGGTGTGTTGTTTTTTGTTCCCCTTTTTTTTTTTTTTTAAGGCCCATTTCAGGGTCAAGAGGGCGGGAGGCGGTTTGGGTTTGGCGGGGGGGGGGATTTTCGGTGTGCACGGCTGATACTGCAGTGTGGCGCGTTGTGCTGTCCCATCCTGTCCTGAGCCGTGTTATAGAGCACACAGAGACTCCTGTCACTTCCTAATCAGGTCATCTGGCATTTTGAGAATGCGTGCACGTATTGCCTTAGTTCCTGTCTGCAAAAGGACTTAAAAGGTGTTTTTCTTCGCCTCTTTCTAAAGACACATCATTTATTTTATTGTCTGTATCGAAGCCACCTTGTCATGTTCTAATCTGCACAGATGGATGGTGTATTAACAGTAGGAGCAGTGGGCGTCTGTCACCGATTATTTCATTTTTTATTTGTTTTTTTGGTACTAATAATGTGGCAAGCCATGAGCTGACAGTATAGTGTGTAGTTACAGTATTGCATATTTATAAGTGCAACAAACGTTTGTGTGCGTGTTTGTTGCTCCGGTATGCCTTTACTGTCCCCACCAAACACTTCATGTTTTAAATCTCTGCGCATCTCAGTGCAGGGCATTTAAGTGCTTGACCTAATTTCTCTGGCAGCGAAGAATCCACTAGTGAAGGCCTTCCTCTGTGTGTGTTTGTGTGTGT